GCGTTTGCACCGCGGGAGGAGGCAGAGGGAAGCTGCAGGCCTGACACAAATAGGTTCAGCTGGAACAAGGGAGGCCAAAAGGAGCTGGGTGGAAACGTGGGCACGGGTCTCGGAGTGAGGGGCAAGGGAGGCTTTGGGACTCACTGCCATTAAGTGACTGGAAAACAATTTGTAAGTACTTCTACAAACTGGGCAGTTGTCCTAGCATCTGCCATCTGACTCCAAGGGAAGCGAGAGAGCACTTGAAGGTCAAATGATTTATAAGGAAGAGAACAGCGAAATAGGAACCGTTCAGCTCCATATTCCCCATCGTCCCAGGCCTTCAAACACGGCCACCGACTCCGGAGCCACCCTAACAAAGTAAAAAGCCCACAGAAGTCGGGACAGAAAGCTTAATGGAGACGGCATGCGACCACAAGAGCAGTACTGCCCGTCACACAATTCAGAAGAGATCCATGAAAAGCTCCTGGCATGGTCTGCTTTGCCTTTTCTTGGTAGCCCTAGCGAGGGGAGTTATGCAAGATACGCCGATGTGAGCAGCCAAGAACTTTTATGTAAGTTCCCTCGCTGGCTTTGCACGGCTCCACTCCCACAAGGAGCTGGGCACGATAAGGAACCGGCTTCTCCTCTGCTGTGCCTGTCTGCCAGCCAAGCTGCAGCCAGCATGGAGAGCAGGGAGAAAAACCTGCTCCAGAGATGCTAGAGAGACCAGCGCTGCCCTGGGAATGCACACACAGAGCAAAGACCTCATGCTAGGCAAGGGATTACTCCACATCGCCAGTTTTCTACTCGCTGTGCTTCCTGCTAACCCACCCCAAAAAAGATTTCTCCATTCCCCGAGCCGGTCGTGCAGTGCTGGAGCAGACACTCGTGCCACGGTGCACCCAGAGCTGTCGAGCACTTCAAAAGCTTCGTGGGGGCTGCATGAAAAAAATCCTCCGCACACCAGAGAGTCACGAGAAGCATGCACTGGAGCCCGAGTGCAGGCAAAACTGAAACCCAGCGATGCCCGTTTCCCCCACGCAGCAGGGGATGAGGACGAGTACTTAAGTAATTAGTGTTGTCAAAGCAAGTAATCCTGTTAGCCGGCATAACCTGTGGAAGGGCTTCAGTCAACACGGTGCAAGAGGTTATCTGACGCACAAATATCCACTTTTTTTTTTTTTTAAGATCTGAATTTTATCCTTATTATTGCTTAATTCTGTTGGAGTGATCAGCACAGCAGGAGGGTGCGGAGGAAGGGGGCTCCTCCTGCCGCCAGCCTGGGCTCACAGACAGCGGGAGCAGCGCCGGCACGGCCGTCAGAGCAAAAGCTGACCTGAAATCTTGCACCCTCAGGGCACTGAGAAGGGTGGAAGAGTCTTGCCCGCTTCCTGCTCCTATCTGCAAAAGAGGGAAATAACTCCATATCTCACAAAAAAAATGCTGTGGCTAGTCACAGACTGCCCAAGGAGCGCAAAGATACAGTGTGCCAAACTCATCCTCAGAGCCAGCTCCTTCCGTGCACTGCCTGCAGGCAATGATTAACAAAAAAGATGGATAAAATATTCACAACATTGCGAGGAGCAAGTGCTGTGATCTTCGTGCCACCTTCCCTTTGTATACAAAACCATGTGTTGCACCCAGTCTAGTTTAAATAGCAAAATCTTTAGGTCTGGGACTTAGACCAGACTTTTCTCAGGAGCAAAGACTACAGTTCCCACTCTACTAACAGGACATACGCTGCATGCCAAACCACAAACAAAAGGACACAAATGCAAGTGAACTTTGGAGGTGTAAAATGGATTAAGAGGTCAGCTGTGCTTGAGGAAATCCAGTAAGAGGACCGCGATGTCTTTGCTAGACTACGGTGCAAGACGCCGTTTACTACAAAATTAACGCGGATTTTATTTGCCAGTCCAGGAGCAAGAGGGTATTCACAGCACTCCGAGAGGACATGGATAGTTACAGATGGGAGAATTTGACAAAAAGCTGCTTCTCTACCACCAACTCTACAAAACCAGAGCGCTCACAGCCCATTCATTTGCCCCTCGGTGCACAAAGACTGTATTCCTCCAGGAGAGAAGCCCGTGCTGTATTTTACATCTGTACTTAAGCTATGCCCCTATTAAGCTTCATCACGGCTCTTCCATCACGGATTGGGTCGGACCACGTAATCTATCGTGCATCTTCGTAAGAGAGCGGTTGAAACGAAGCAAAGATCCTCTCCTCCCAGGACTGGAGGCAGTAGCAGCAGACAGAGCAGAGCTGACCGATCCACACTTCTAGAAAAGAGCCAGTACCATGGAAGAGAAAACAAAGTGATCCTCAAATTATTGTTTATATATCTGAGAGTCCCTTGGATGACTGCACAAAGCAACAAAGCGAGATTCATTACTGAAAAAGGAGCAAGTGCTATTTGCCTGAAGTGGCAGCTACAGCAAAACTCGGTTTGTTCCCTGAGCGGTTGGGTTTCCAATGAAAAGGAGATGTCCTCTCACCCTGGGGCGCGTGGGGTTTCAAGTCCAAAAAATCATCCAGGACTAAAAATGCTCGATAATAAACTTGAGAGAGATCTCTGCAACTCCTGACACCCATCTGGGAGTGAATCTGAAGGGCACTGAATGCAATAGCCACCCTTCCCTGCTAGCTCCTCATCAAACGAACGATATTACAGATAGATAGTCGAACAGATGGTTACAGATGCACTTTGGGGAGAAAAAAAAGTACATTTTGGGCATTCTGAAGCAGTCAGTATAGCTCAGACAAAACTAAGCACAAGTAAAAGCTGTCTTTTCTTATGCTCAGACACATGACGTAAGGTACTAACAGCTTCCAATTACTGCACCCTCTCCACCTGTGCTGGAAGGCATCTGAAATATTTGACTGACATTCAGCTAAGGGTTTGACGATTGGGGATGACAGATGTCCATCTGCCACAGCAGAGATCTGGCCGCCGAGGAAGCCGGACCCGGCTGTCAAAGGTAGAAACGTTCGCAGCGAAAAGTCCGCATGGGAGCCAGCCGTATTCCCTTTGAAAGGCGGAGAGAAAGCTGCCTCCTGTGTTGAGCTGTGCATAGCATGAGCAGCAGGTCAGGGTTCCCCCCCCCCAGTTTCCAAATAGCCCAATGTTATTTTTATCAGACATTCCTATTCGCATTCACACCTAACCTACATTCGTCTATTCAAAGTTGAACCCAGGGCTCAAACAGAGCCAGCAGAGAGACAATAACCTGGAGAAGTTCAGCAACGAAAGGCAACAGCAATGCCATTTTGTGCTTGCAGAAAGCTTAAGTTTCAGGATCGTGCAGAGCTTTCACAGTCATTAACAGGGAACGAACCCTTGAAGGCAAGTGATGGATGCCATCATTACCTACAGCAACGGTCCAGCCAGCCTGCTTCAGTGCTTCTCTATTAGGGGCTCCAGACCAAAAGCAAGGATGGGTTGAACCTCAGCAGCTAGAGTCAAATTCAAACCTGCTGTTAGTCCTAATATTTAGCAGCAACTACCCAATTTTCCATGGAATAATCTTTATTTTCTTGAAATTATGAACCACACAAATTTCTGGTCATAAAATGCCAAGATGTCTTTGCTTTAAGAATCCCTACACTGGTTTGCATGAAATTTTCTCTCCCTTGGAGTGCCTCAGGGTGAGTTTACATGAGAGTCTGCAAAAACAGATGTATGCTTGATACCAATTTTTCAAAGCCTGGACCAAGCCCTGACAAACAATCTTGTGTCATTTTTTGGTCTGAAGCAGTGCTGGCACAGGCGCCCTGACCCTGCTGTGTCAGAGAACTACTGCTCTCCAGCTACAGAAGCTATGTGGAAAGAAAGCGATCATGAAGTGGAGCAAATGTATTGCTCCTCCAGCCCCCTACCACCTGAGAAAATAAGTAACTTCTCCCCTTGCCACTGGATTGTGCTAGCATAAATAACATTAATATCTCAGACGGGTCAGCAAGTAAAGCAAACACCTTCCTTGCATAAATGCAGCAAGAGCTAGAAAAGGTTACTACTGCCATTTCTGTCTGCCCTCCTCCAAACTTTTGCATGTTCTTTCTACTCTTCCGAGGGTAGCAATTTTCCTTTTTCCACGATGAATAAGAGACCCTGGGTTGCAGAGGCTCCAAGCACTCACAAAATGGAGCAAAAAAAGAGTTTTGTTTCTCAGCCCTGGAAGAGCTGCAGGAGGACCCAGCCCTGCACACAGCTCCTGCGCTGAGCATCAACCAAAACCATCACACGCCCCGTCCCCGTTAACAGAGAGTATTTGGCACACAAGACTTTGGGTATCCTTCTCATCCGTTTTGCAAGTGTAAATTCCTACTGAATGGTACCTCCTTCAAATATAGAGGAGCATTAAATGCAGTTCGTAACGCCCCAGTTTTATCCGAAACTAGTGAGAGCTTGTGCTGCTGGAGCTCAAGCCAGCCTCCCAGTGTGCAACTGGTTCAGAGAGCTCGCTCTGCTCCTTACCTTGAGCCAGATTCCTTTTTGTAGGTCAACCAGAATATCTCCTCACAATAAACCTAAAAATATCTGTATTGTACACCGAATTCTACCAAGCCGAATGATTTCTTCAACAGGGGAGAGACACAGTCATCACAATACTAGAGTCGAGTGAAACTGAGAAAGACTAATCAACTGAACCATTCCCCTCAGCAAATCTGTCTTTACCTTATCAACTACCTTTCAGTCATTCAAGGAGTAACACCCAAATTTTGAGGCCACGTTGACTCTCGGTTACTAGAATCTGGCACACACAGTCTATGCAGAAGCCAGGTGCATTTAATTCCAAAAAAAGCAAGCGACAGTCCTGTGTAGCAAAATGCAAATACAAACTTAATGTGTGCCAAACGAGCATAACCCAGGCCACGCTTAAAGCTCCCACGGACCCGCAGAAATACTAAATGCAATGCCAAGAGACTAGAAAATCATAAAAGCTACCTAAATCAAAGTCCATCTGTGCATTTTGGAAGCCATACAGCCTCTAAAACCTTATAGCTACCTGAACTGTGCTCATGGACTCCTAAAAATTTTAATTGGGATAGAAGGTAATTATCCTTAAACTGTTCTTCTGCTGGCAAAACATCTAGCACCGACAGTGCTGTTATCAGACTAGGGAAAAAAAAAAAGAGGTGCCTTTGCCAAAGTAAACTGCGGCTACTCAAGGAGGGTTCACTGACAGAGCTGTGTGCCAAGGATTGCCACGGTAGGCAAGCCCAGAGGCAGCTACGATGGCCCCTTGCCGGGCTGCCGACCCACGAGGTGGAGCTGGCACTCTGCTCCCTCACCACGCTCCTCAAGAAGCCAGGTGAGATTAAAACTGGGAGTATTTAATTAGAACAGAGGCGACTTAAGACTGTCACCGCACATCAGCCGCCCAGCTCTCAGCCAGGAGAGCTGCCTGCAAAGCTTTCCCCGCATCAATCGGTTCCTCACGCCGGGGTTCCTGCCCCGCCACCGAAAACAAAGCCGAACCTCGGCCGCAGCCGAGACCCAGATCCACGCTGCAGCGTTAGTCTTGCTCTTGCCAAAGCGCTCTGCGGCTCGGAGACTGTCTCAAAAATGCACTTGTCGGGCACTGAATTTCCTCAGCCTCCTTGGGAACAATGCAGACATTAAAATTGTACTTGCTTGCAAGGTCCGTCAAGTTTCCAGCGCCCACATTGCTATGCGTAGGTCCCTCTCTTAATGACCAGCACTGATGCGGATTTGCCTGGGATTGTCATTGAGACAATCTGCCCAAAGCCAAGTCCTCTGCTGGGGACGCGGGCTCCTTACATCACCGAGTGCCAGCTCACCAGCTACTGTCAAGGAGAGCACATAAGCCCTCAATACCAGCCTGGAAAAAAAAAAAATCTCTTTTGAGACCCTCAAGCTCTATAGACTTTCCAGCAGTTAAAAATATACGTATTCCTCCAAAATAATCACTCAACAGCACACCGACCCACAGCAAACCTGACGTCTTCCTCTCAACAGGTCCATTGGTGGGACGGTCTCTCAGCCGACTCGAGGGGGTCGCTGCTAAGCTTGGGTGAAAAAGAAAAAAGGAAAAGAAAAAGGCCGATGTCTACAGCAAACAGCTGCAGCTACTTAAAAAAAAGTGAGCTCACCAAAGGAGACGGGAGGGGATTCCTAGATGTCAGCAGGCAGGGAAATTCACCACCTGTTTCACAAGGTTAGCAAGCTGCCAGCGCGTCCACTAATAGATCATTAATACAAGAACAGCGGGGTCTTTGTGTCAAAGGCAAATCCCCCACCTGCTAGTGAATGTAAATCTGACCCCACCACCGGCAGCGGCAGGGGAGGAGGGTGCTGGCTCCAGTTTTTAAAGCTACTTTAAGCAGACACAATTTTGCACATTGCGTCCTTCCAAGACCTCGCTCAGGACAACGATGTAGGCAGGAATCCACATGGGAAACCTAAACAAAATAACACCCAGAAACACTCAGGCTGGTGCCCAAGCACCGTGGTGGAAGCACGCAGAGCCCAGCCTGCAGGCCCTTGGAGAAGAGACTGTTTCATCAAGTCCGGCAAAAGGCGGTCACATCATGGATAAATGAGCATTTGAGCGCTTGCAATCCCCACCGCAGCAAAAAAAGACCAATTCACACACAATAGAGGGCTCAGTTTCTCTTCCCTTCCCATCTCACGCCTTAATGCTTCAACCCAGCTGCATTCGCACTGGATCAAAACAGCGCTGGTTAAAACATTTCTTGCAATGCACTTACTCCAATGTTTGACATTTATACCCACGTATCACCTTATAACCACACAGAGGTGCAGACGGTCTGAAGGGAGCTGGAAACTAATTAAAATCTTCCCAGCGGTCACACTGGAGATCAGCCAGAGCAGCTTTCTTGCAAACCAAAGAGTAAGTAGCCCAATAAATGGGCTAAATAAGTTCTAGCAATGCTTTCAGAGCAGCTTCACAGACCCTCATGTGCCAGGGACCGAACTCGATGACAGGAGCCCCCAGTTATCGCTGAAACAGCAAAACCAGTCCTCTGCACCACTGTTCAGGGTCTTCCTCCGGGAAGCCTTTGCAATATACATCCGAGACATCACCTTTGGGATAATATTCTCACTGCTGTTTGAGAAGCCATTTTACCACGTTCGCTACACTTCAGCAACTGATAAAAGGGAATATTTTCTAGAGCAGGCTAGGGAACCGAAGACTCTTACTGGGATCACTGTTGACACCACTGCTCCCTGCTCTCCTGAAGTTCACCTTGAACCACTTGTCTTACACAGGGGAGATCCTTGCACGCTCTCACCAGATCCGTCTCGGAGCAGGAAAAGTGCTTTAAACTCACGTCTTACAGCCACCACCGTTGCAAAGGTATTCACTAAAGGGGGGGAAGCACTCAGAAGCCAGGAGGATTGATGTAGACTTCTGGAGAGATAAACCCCACAAGCCCTCTCACGGCGGCGTACCCAGGCTCCCAGCTGGAGGAGGTCGCGTTACTCAACACGCTCACATCCACCTCCGCTCCTAATGGAAACACAGCGAGATCCTGTTAAGGCTTCGCAGCTGGAGATGCTGCAGCTAGAGACAGCAGCGAGGTTTTCCTTCGGAGGCTGGAGGGCTGAAGTCAGAGTGCAGCCCAGATAGCCTGACACTCCTCCTCCCTGCCAGCGAAATCTTTAAAAACTGCGCTGAGATTTCTTTTTCCTACCGCTTTTGAGCACCCTCTGCACACAGGAGCACCCACCCTTCATCCTCCATCTCACCCGTGGTCCATGCCGTCCTAACCAGAGATGCTCCGGGTGCAGAGTTGCTCCCCATCCCTCCCTCTGCCCCTACACCAAGCTCCCTGCCCTGAAGGGAGGAGGTCAAGTGTACTGGATTTCCCAGTACACTTGACCCGGCTCTCAAGTGTCATCGGTATATGCTTCTTCAGCACCGTGAGCCTGACAGACCGGCCTCCAAGAGCCGTTCAGAGCCAAGTCTTGCATTATAGGATAATGCTGATGCCTTTATGTAGCCTGTTTCCTCGCTCCTGCTGCTTAATGATGTCTAATTCCATTACCATCCAAGACATTAACGCACTGTACGTCTAGTAAACACACCCGCCATCCCAACGCAATCTGCAGAGGAGCGCAAGGGATCGAACAGGGAACACCTGGAAAACCAGCCAAGCTGGGAAGGATCCTGGACAAATATAGGTCTCCAAGGAGTATCTTTAGATTAGCAGGCGGCTCTGCCCCCACCGAGACCCCAGGATTTACCTAAATAGCTCCCTTCATCACAAGCAGCCCAGCGTTCATTGCTATTTTAAGCCAGCACCCTGCCCTACTTCCTAAGGAACAGCCTGCTTTCTCCTACCCATGCAACCAAACGAGCACCAAAAACATTTCAGCTAGAGGAGACAAATTCCTCTCAACTCTGCCTTCTTTTATTAAACGAAAAATACTATTTCGGCACCATACCTAGCTAATATGGGGCTCATTTGTTCTAATTGCTACAGAATGGGCCCTCCAAGCAGCCAGCACAGCCTTGCACGGGGGGAATAGGATCAACCTTTCACAGGCTGATATCCAGATAGCAGGGAAAGAAAAACCATATTAAACACGGGGGGCTCCAGAGGGGCACGACCTTCCCTCCTCTCCGTCCCACCTCCAGCGCCCATCTGAAGCATCTGGTGTTATTCTTGCAGGAAATAAATAAAAAGACAGCCCAATCTGCTTTCCCTGACACCTCATCACAGTTTTCTAAACAGGTTTTAGTACCCAAGGCAGGTGTTGGGGTTTAGGTTCTGCCACCAGCGGTGGCATTTCTGTTAATTAGCATGGCAGCAGAACATCTCTGCTATAGGCTATAAAGAAACCTGGCTCTGGGAAGCTTCATACACAAAAAAAAGGGTGCCACTGGCTCTGTTTGGGGCAGACGAGGGCTGCGTGAAGCATATTAGAGCTAAACAGCTTGTATTACCCTAAGATGTTTGCAGAAGTGCCGCTTAGCACTGCATTTGACTTCCGATTCATTTTTGGATGAAGTGCCACATGATCTGGCAAAATCAGCACCAATTCTGCAACACCCAGTCTCAGCGCAGCCAGAAACCTGCCCCTTTTCTTAGCACATCCCATTTACAAATAACGAAGCGTCTTTCCTGCAAGAAAGACCCCCAAAATACCAGATTCCCAAGTAATTCGGAGCGACCCTACAGGGTTCATGCTTTAAGGGCTATCTACAGACCTTCTTGAGCTCTGTCCAGGCAAGTTGCTGTACTATGACACAACTTGCTTTTTAGAGATCCCACCGCTGCATCTTGACTCAGATGGTATTTGCACTTTTCCTCTGGCACGCCCGAGGTCTGAGAGCATGCACCTTGGCTTTCATCTCCATTTTTAGCCATTTTCGCAGCTCTTTTTTTCCCCCTCAAGTATTCCTTAGCAGCTACAAAATGGCAACACTAAGCAAGACAAACCAATTAAAGCATTACAGAAGACAAACATGAAATGAACAGCAATCACAATGATGGTACTACATATTTCTTCTTTTCAACAACCACAATTTCCCTTGTATTTAAGATTTGCCTGAGCCTTACCTTGCTTTGCATGCAATTACAAAGCTACTTTGACTTTTGTATTGGTGTGTGCTCTGTTATAAATAACTCTCTACATCTCCCAACCTACCGCAACTGGAGAAAGCCCAATGCTCAACCACCCAGCTGCATTTCAAGAGCAGTAGTTTGTATTAAAAACAAGGTAGGAAGAAAGCTACACAATTTTTCATAAACTGAAAGCATCTTCAGCCAGCAAGATGAACTAGCACATCCTCTGAACCCTATCCACTTGGCAGCAGCGCGGGGGAAGCTCTCCAAAGCCTCTGAAGATGGCATCTATTGATCTGACGCCGGTTTTTGGCTCCCCAGAGGCATGGCTTCTGTTGAAGGCACCGGGAGCCTCGCTGAACAAATCCCGTGGGATTGAACTCCATGCCTCTAGCAGCATCTGCGCCACGCTACAAAGGCACACGCTCGCTGTGCGGAGAAGGGGAGCAGCTCGTCGGGTGTTTTCTGTTCGAGCGTGACTTCACCCGAGCTGAACACGCACGTGGTATGAGATATTGCTGGGGCAAGCGTGCTCAGATTGCCCTGCCGTTCCTTCACTCCCAGAAACCTTAATTAGGTATTAAACAGATGATCTACAACATATCTGGGAGGTTCACACCACGAACCAGACAGCTGATAGGTAAGAGCACCGTGTCAGGGGTCTTACACCACCACCACCCCCCACTTTAAATGTCTTCCAGCCAGGAAAAAACAAACCAGAGATGGAGAAAGGTGCCTGAAAAAGCCCAAGGGCTTATGAAAGGACAGCGAAGCACAAACTTGGAAAACCCACTTGTTTACACGACACCTTTAGCTATGTAGTCTCAGCACCGGTCCCAGCTTTACCACCACCACCCAATTCCTCGATATCAGCCCACTGACGATGGCTCAAGTCTGCCCATCTACAGAAAAGCAGAAACCCAACAGTACTTCATAAAACATAGCACGGGCACTACTGAACAGGACGTGGATTCGGCACATCACACCGACTACCGACAAACACGCAACAGCTGCCAAAAAGAGGGCACCAGATCCTAGCTGCTGCTCGTTCACCAGCTTTGTAATGGTGTGACACTTTACTGATACACACATCCAGAAAATCGCTCTGGATTATTTGCTCCGGCTCAGCCAAGCGTCCAAATACCAATACCCTGTTTTTGTAAAGAATTTTTCACAGATGCAACTGCAAACACAGTAAGCTGGGTGTGTTTCCACCGTTCAGCCATGCTCACGTGTCGTTGGAAAGGATCCTCGCAGCACACAGCTATGCTTACCGCCGCCACTGCTTCCCAGAGGACGTCGCACCTTGCAGGCGCGATTCGCGGGAGGTGGAACGCAGCAGGATCACTTCTGTGCCACGAAAAGCTCTGCGGGTTTGTATACGTGGAGCACGGGGTGGGGGAAGGCACCCACCGTGCCCGAGTCCTGACCT